AGAATAGCAAACTATTAATCTCTCCTATATACCTGGATAGTTTGGTCAAAAGACGTGGTTTCATGCATTATGTAAACAAAAAGCAAAACAAAACAAAAAAGAATTGAATTACAAATTGAATTGTTCGTTTGGTCAAAAAGATGCCATTTCATGCATTATGTAAACAAAAAAAAAAAACAAAACAAAACAAAAAAGAAGAACTGAATTGCAAATTGAATCGCTCTATTCGCTAAAATTCAACACACGATTTGATCATTTTTGCTGAAACTCTATCAAATTGTGAATAACAACCATGTACATATGTGTTTACAGATAGGGAGGGGTCAGCCAAATGAATATAAGTTATGCTTTTACATTTTTGTCATCGTCAATGTCTCTGCTGTTCCTTTCAAAGAATTCACCACATCAATGAGTCCATATGGTTTTATGTACTTATGTCCATCCTCTCATATCTTGTTTATGTGCTCGTGAAATGCATTATGCAACATAGCAATATGATTGGTAAAAATCAGCATTTTGTTTCACACAGTTTTATGGTTACGTTCTTGTTTCTTGAACTTATTTGCTTTGATTTAACATTCTTTCTTTGTATGTGAGAGAGAACTTCCAAAGCTAATGACTTATAGTATCTGTGTATCTTTGATGTTTGTTTTGTAGGTTGCTTTGCAGTCAACTTATGGAATCCACACCTTTAGAGTTGAAAGTATAGCACATGGAAAAGCTGCACCTGTAGATGAGTTGCAGGTGCAAGGGGTTTATAACCCTGGGCTTCTGAGGAAGGTAAATCCACTCTGCATCTCTTTGTGATCTAGTCTTGAGTTTAACTGTGTGAGAAGCAATGAACTACTTTGCTCATATGGTTCCATGGTGGGCTACTGTTTATTGTTTCATTACTATTAGAGTGATATGATGACTATATAAAAATATAAAAGGGTTATTTGCATGTTTTCAGATCATTGTGACTGAAGCTTCCAAGGTCATACAAGATGTTGGTAGAACTCGGAGATCTGCTGCTCAAATTGGTGAAGGGGAAAGTATGGTCCGCGTTGGATCTTCTGCTGAGGGTCCAGCTGTTTTCAGATCACCATCCAAAAGTTGGAAGGTAATAATAAAAATGTTGTTTGCTGTTCTCAAACTTGTTAGACCCCGCTTTCATCTAAATGTCAACTCAAGCTATTGCAAATTGTGCAAGATGCCTTTTTTTTGTGAAGGAAAATATTTTAATCTAATGCTTTCATGTCATTGTCACAAGTCATCTATAGTTTTGTTTATTTTTGGCTTTAGTTGGATTCTTCTGCAAAACCTGTTTGAAATAAGAATTGTACTCATTGTTGTCAAATCGCGAATCAAATCATGATGTTTTGCTAAAACAATGAATTGTGAATCTTATTATTTATTTATATATATATAAATATAAAATAGTGTTCAAATGAAGTAAGTATTAATATAGCTAAATTGTATATATGTATATACTATAAAATCACATATATCAATATAACTTATTGATCTCTTCCTATGAAGCACGACACAGACACGTCGACACGTAAATTTTTAAAAATGAGAGACACAACATGTTGGGGACACGCTCATATATAATTATTTATTTATTTATTATATGTAAAATTAAAAAAATATTTTATTTATTTATTTATTTTAATATCAAAATTATTCATAAATTAATTTTTTTTTTTACAAATAAAAATAACTAATGTTTAACAAACAAGAATATTAAAAAAAATAAAAAATAAAATGTAAAAGAGGGAAAAAAAAGATTTTTTGTTACCAAAAATAAAATAGGTAAAAAAAAAAAAGAAGAAAAAACAATAAAGAAGAGGAGATAGAGATAACAGTCTTTATTTGGGTGGATATGAGAGAGACAGACAGTCAAACACAAAGAAGAGAAGAGAAAAGAAGAGTCGAACAAAGAAGCAAGAGAAGGAGAATCGAACAGAGAAAGAGGGAGAGACGAACACAACAAAAGAGAAAGACGAACACAGCAAAAGAGAGAGAGACGAAAGAAACGAAGATTCGAAGACGATGAACAGGTTTGAGGAAGACGAACAGAGAGTACCGAACACAGGGAGAGAGGGAGTCGAACACAAAAATTAGAAGAACACACCTTGATCTAGCCTCGATCTAGGGCTTCAACAGGTTCTTCACCCTTTCTCTTTCTGTTTTTAATGGTCAGGGTTTCTCTCTCTATCTTCAATGGGGTAGGATTTCTGTCTCCAATGTGTCCATAACGTGTCCGGAGAGTGTCCGGCTGCAAATTAAAAAAAAAGGGGGACACGTTAGGTAGATGTGTCCAACACGTGTCCGACGCGTGTCCATGTCCGTCACGTGTCGGACACCCATACGTTGCCTCCGGAGAGGTGTCCGTGCTTCATAAATCTCTTCTATATTCTTGATAGTTTGGCAAAAATGACGTCATTTCATGCATTGTATAAACAAAAATAAAAATAGAATTGAATCGCATGAATCATAATGAATCGTAAATCGAATCGCATGATTCACTCAATTTCCAATTAACAGTATGATTCAAATCATTTGTGTTGAAACTCATATCAAATTGTATGAATTGAATGTGGAATTGCGTGATTCTAACAATCATGATTATACTTACGTGGGTTATGCTCAAGTTCATTGCTTTGGTGTTAGGGTTATAAGTTGTGGTTGATAGAATTTTATTTTTAACAGCAGTTTGACACTTCCTACCAAAACTGTTTTGATTGTGGGAATCTTGTTTATTCATTTAAAATGGTAGGTTCAGCCAAACTCGAAGTGTTTCATGCCTTTTCTCATGTTGTTCTAATGAATTTCATTGACATTGAACATAAAGTGATATATTTCAATGCTTAATCTTGATAAGAGTAGGTTGAATACAACAGAACTGCTAGTTTTTGTCGTGGTAAAAACTTATTGAATTGTAATGGGGGATACTAATCTCATGGTTCAGAATCTTTAGATCAATGAGTGTGGCTAAACTGTGGTATCTAGTGGGTAATCCACATTATTTGTTCTCGTGTTTTTTGTTTTTTTATTTAATTGTGAAGTGCTTTTTGTATTTTAACTTTTAAAATTTGAAGTTTTTGATCTTTGTGCATTGTAAACGTCATTAGACAGAAGTTGAACTTATTTAGATGTTTTGTCTTATGATCACATTTACCAATGCCTCTTTACATGCAGATCGTGGGTTCCCCACGTTATGCTTCAGTTGAGCACAGAAGTACACGCGCTACGGATTTGATGCTACATAAACTCGAAGAAGTTAGCAAATCAGTAAAGTATATGCTTTTTCCTTTGCACAGAGGGCAACTATAACCCAATTCAACTCTACAAAGCCTTGTTCGACTAGTTGGGTGTGGCTATATGAATTCCATTCCATGCAATTGAGGGCCATAATTTCAATTAAACTACAAACTAACATATCTTTCCTTACTGTCGCAAGTGGTGTTAATTTTGGTCTTCCTTGTGCCCTGGCATTAAATTCCATAGTATTCAAATCGAGTCATTTTGGAAGTGTCAAGATCAAGTCACTCCAAATAAAAGTCAATGTAAGGAGAAAAGACCTATATAAAAAAAATGCAATGATGATCCCATAAACTGTCCTTGGTTTACTGGAGTGCAAATCAAATCATTTTTTTATGTATAAATTTTATTAAAGAATCACCAAGTAAGGCTGCAAATGAGTCGAGTCGAGCTGAGTAGTAGGTTGTTCAAGTCCAATAGTCTGTTCAAGTCAGGTTTAAACGACTGAAATAATAATTGTTCCCTATATCTTTGTAGGTTTAAGGTTTAGGGGGGCAAATGCAATTAGATTACTTATCCTCCCTGTATCTTGTCACCATGCATATCCTCCCTCAACCCCTGTCAAGCCGAGTAATAAGTTGTTCAAGCTTGGCTTGATAATTTAACGAGCTTTAAAATGTATTTAAGCTTGGCTTATTTGCATAATGAGCCGATCTAAAATGAGGTTGAATGAGCCAAGCATGAGTTGAGCTCCAGTAGCTTGGTTCGTTTTGCAGCCCAGGCACCAAGGGGTGCCTAGTTGTATACAAAAATGAATTGCAAATCAAGTCATGTTTCTAACCATTAGGGTTTTTGTTTGTGATCTTTTTACATAATAGCTTCCTAATGATCATATGTTGCCTTCATCATGATCAGAAAATTGAGTTGCTTATAGAGAAGTCCCAAGGTTCCGCAGTAGCAGCTAATATGAAGGTGCTTGCTTCCCCGCCATGGTGTATCAGCCTCTGGTGATTGGGAAAGAGGAGATCGATAAGAAAAATGCATAGCTACAGCCTCTGTAACTATTGTAACAGGAATGTAAGTTGTAGTGCGAATAACTCAACTCTCTGTCAGGTTGTCTCATAGCTTGCTGTACAGAATGGAGGTTGGAAAAACACATGCAGCGTCTTGCAACTCAGCCATGGATTAGCTTTCTTACTTTTTGCTAGGTACCTAGAAATTTTCCCAGAAAAATACTCAGAAAAAACAATTGGATGGTTGAGATTCATTTTAATTGAATCTAGACAATACATCAAATTTCTGGGTAAATTTCTAGACAACTTTTCTGGTTTCCTAGCTTTCTTACATTTTCCTAAAGTGTTCATTTCTCTGTTTTGTTTGTTTATTTATTTTGCTATTGAGTAGCAATAGGTACTTCATTGAGAGAGAACCCTTGTTTTGTATGCACTAGGAAAACTCTTTTTTTTTTCTCCTCGGCGGCCCCCCCCCCCCCCCCCCCCCAACCCCAAATTGTTATTATTACTACTGCTGTTTTACATTTCTGTTTTTAAAATGTGAGGCAATAGTTTTCTTGAGATAAGGCTGGTGAAAAGATGCAATAGGATGAGTTCTAAAGCTATTGTGGACTTGTTTTGTTTTTTGAGGATTAACAATACAAATATATATCTAGCCTACTCTCCACAGATTGGGGAAAGGGAAGCTGCTAAAGCGGCACATCAGATGGCGGGTGGAATAAGTAGGAGTTAACCCCAAGGGGTTGGCCTAGTGCATGCAGGTCGGGGCTTGGGGTGTGTTTCCCTCTAGGTCTCAGGTTCAACTTTCACTAGGTGTTATCAACTTTTTAGGGTCACGTCTGCAGTTTTGCCCGAGTTTGTCCGATTCACGTGGAGGGGACGTTTTGCGTGAGTCTCGGGATTAGTCGAGGTGCATATAAGTTGGTTCAAACATCCGGCTATAAAAAAGTAGGAGTTAACGAAACTATTTCGCAACACAAATGGTGGGTGGAATGAATAGGAGTTAACAACATTTCGTATCCTAACCTCACCTAGGAGGTTTAAACCCTCAAATATGAGAGTTGGGGTAATGTCACTGGGGCTAGAAACCCTTGGCATTTATTTTTGATATCTAGATTGAATATAAGGAGTTGAGGATATGTTTAAGAGATGAGATTCATTACATATATTGTATGGATTGAATGTAAGGAATTGAGGATTTGTTTAGAATATGAGATTGATCATATATATTTTGTGATCACTGAGGAGGGTGATTATTTTTATTGTTGGATGAATAATAATTTATTTATAATATATTACTAGATTTCATATCCAGTAACCAAACAAATGATATAAAAAAATGACTTTTTTTTTTTTTGGTTCTTTTATGTTCACTATAATTACATTAATCAAACAGGGGACATAACAAATAGTGATTAGTATGTGCGATGTACCATGTGATCCTCAGGGACATCAGATAATTTTCTCCCAAAAGGAGTAGGGTGGAGCTGGTTATTATTCCCACCTAACCATCCCCATTTGAAACTTCCCCCTTCGGTAGGTGACACCACAGGGTGCCATTTGCACCCAACAACACATTTAAAGTGCCCAAATCAAGAAAATTAATCCATGCCCATGTAATTATGTTACAAATTAATTCAAATCATTAATCTCACTTGAGATCCATGCAAATGAATAGTATAGATTAATCAAATCCACACGAATAAATAATTTAAATTAATTTGTGATATTGTCATGTCACCACCAATAACTCATTTTTAATGTATTTTTGTTTTAGTAACATTTTGAAGGACCTCATTGAAATGCTCATAAACAAGTAGTTGTTTTGACTTTTAAAAACTCAATATTAACTGAATAGTAACCAGAGTTGTACGCTTATGTGATTTGAAAAAACATAAAAAAGACAAATCATAAACAAGGTAAAAGGGAAAAGAGAGAAAAATTTGAATTTTTTTTATATATAATAGTACGGTAATTTTGATTGTCATCGACGTGCAATATCAGTATCCGATGATAAATTATCATGAACGTGCAATAAGTTGGAAAATTATATTTTATCTCTTAAACTATTATTGTATATCACTTTACCCTATTAAAATTTCGTTTGGTAAAGTTTTTTTTTAGTTATTTTAACACAAAAGATAAATAGGCTATTTTAGCCACAACAAACAAACATCATATTAACTCATAATCATTACACTCTTCTCTCTACAAAAAAAAATTTAAAAAGTCAAAAGTTCTTCCCAAATCAAGCTTTTAGCCCAGGCTAAAATAGTCAAAAAAGTCAAAAAACTAAAAATAACCCACTTTCCAAAGGGTTAAATTAAAGATAAATTGCATTACCTCTCCTGATATTTCTAACAAATACAAAGACTTTCTTGTGGTTTGAATAGTTACAGTAATTTCCTTATTTTACCTGTATGTTAAGATTCCCCTTCTGTCAAATTATTCAAAATGGTGTTACTTTTCTATAATAAATTACCTTATTGCCCTTCCTTTTAAAATATTAAAAAATATTTTTGGATTGAAGGACAGGTTTGGAAGATTGGAACAGTATTTTTAGATTTATTTTTTTAAATATTAAAAAATGTTTAAAAAATTATTTTTTTATTTTAAATATATAATTTTTATTTAAATATTTTATTTTATTTTGTAAATATTTAATTTTTTTAATTTTAATATTTTAAATCAAAACACAACTTAACACTCAAATCGTAATCAAACACATAATTCAAAACTCAATTCAAAAATTATTTTCAAATCTCATAACCAAACACATAACTCGACACTCCACAGTATTTTTCAAAACTCTACACTCAAATCGTAACCAAACGCATAAACAAAAAATTAAAATATTTAAAAATATATTTTATAATAAAATAAAATATTTAAAATAAAAACTATATAATTAAAATATTTTTAAAAAAATACAACACATAGATGTATGAAATATAATGCACATTAAATAAATAAATAAATATTTAAATATAAAATATTTATCCTAAAAAAATAATTTCAAAAAATTTCAAAATTTATAACCAAACAAATTTTTTATTTTCAAACTCATAACTCAAAATACGACTCTCCACTCAAATCATGATTCTAAAAATAATTTTTTAAAAAAAAAATTTTGAATTTTTTTTTTCTTTAGAATAGAGTTTTTTGAAAAAGTTTGGTTTTGAGTTTTGAAAATAATTTTTAAATTGAGTTTTGAGTAAAAACATGTTCGAAAAAAGATTTTTTTTTAGTAACATGTTTGGTTCTCTTTTAGAATCACAATTCCTATTAGAAATTTTCAAAAATCTTTTCAAATACTCATAGTCTTAACCAAAACAAAAACTCAAACACAATTTAAAATTACTTTCAAAACTCATAACCACCCAAACTTAAAAAAATACAAATTATGTTAAATATATTTTTAAATATTAAAAATTTTATTTTTTTTATTTTAAATATATAGCTTTTATTTTAAATATTTTTAATTTTTTTTTGTTATGTGTTTGGTTACGATTTGAGTATAGAGTTTTGAAAGTAGCGTGGGTGTCGGGTTATGTGTTGCTACGTAGCTCAAATTTTGTGGCTCAAAAGTGGCTCAAATGGCCAAAACGACGTCGTTTTGGCCATTTGAGCCACTTTTGAGCCACCAAATTTGAGTTACGAGACATTTTTCCTTTAAAATTTGGACAAATTATATTGATATTTTTTATATTTTATTTTATATTATTTTGATCTTTACACTTTCAATTAACTCAATTTTAATTTTTAATTTAGATTTTATGTCAATTTGGCCTAATTTGTTTGTTTTTTTTTTTTTTGATAACCCGGTATTTGAGTTAATTTACACATATCTTGACTAATCCCGAGATACCAATCCTACCACCCACTTGCAGGAGCCCCATTTAAAACCAGGATGAACATCCTATATAGACATGACCCTAAGGAGCTTATTGCTACTAATGGATATTGAACCTGAGACCTAGAGGGAAACACACCCCCAAGCCCCGACCTGCATGCACTAGGCCAACCCCTTGGGGTTAACTCCTACTTATTCCACCCGCCATCTGATGTGCCGCTTTAGCAGCTTCCCTTTCCCCAATCTGTTGAGAGTAGGCTAGATATATATTTGTATTGTTAATCCTCAAAAAACAAAACAAGTCCACAATAGCTTTAGAACTCATCCTATTGCATCTTTTCACCAGCCTTATCTCAAGAAAACTATTGCCTCACATTTTAAAAACAGAAATGTAAAACAGAAACACTGTTCCAATCTTCCAAACCTGTCCTTCAATCCAAAAATATTTTTTAATATTTTAAAAGGAAGGGCAATAAGGTAATTTATTATAGAAAAAGTAACACCATTTTGAATAATTTGACAGAAGGGGGAATCTTAACATTATCAGGTAAAATAAGGAAGATTACTGTAACTATTCAAACCACAAGAAAAGTCTTTGTATTTGTTAGAAATATCAGGAGAGGTAAATGCAATTTATCTTTAATTTAACCTCTGTTTGGAAAGTGGGTTATTTTTTAGTTTTTTGACTTTTTTGACTATTTTAGCCTGGGCTAAAAAGCTTGATTTGGGAAGAACTTTTTGACTTTTTAAATTTTTTTTTGTGAGAGAAGAGTGTAATGATTATGAGTTTAATATGATGTTTTGTTTGTTGTGGCTAAAATAGCCTATTTTATCTTTTGTAGTTAAAATAACTAAAAAAAAACTTTTACCAAACGAAATTTTAATAGGGTAAAGTGATATACAATAATAGTTTAAGAGATAAAATATAATTTTCCAACTTATTGCACGTTCATGATAATTTATCATCGGATACTGATATTGCACGTCGATGACAATCAAATATTACCGTACTATTATATATAAAAAAAATTCAAATTTTTTCTCTCTTTTCCCTTTTACCTTGTTTTATGATTTGTCTTTTTTATGTTTTTCAAATCACATAAGCGTACAACTCTGGTTACTATTCAGTTAATATTGAGTTTTTAAAAGTCAAAACAACTACTTGTTTATGAGCATTTCAATGAGGTCCTTCAAAATGTTACTAAAACAAAAATACATTAAAAAATGAGTTATTGTGGTGACATGACAATATCACAAATTAATTTAAATTATTTATTCGTGTGGATTTGATTAATCTATACTATTCATTTGCATGGATCTCAAGTGAGATTAATGATTTGAATTAATTTGTAACATAATTACATGGGCATGGATTAATTTTCTTGATTTGGGCACTTTAAATGTGTTGTTGGGTGCACAATGGCACCCTGTGGTGTCACCTACCGAAGGGGGAAGTTTCAAATGGGGATGGTTAGGTGGGAATAATACCAGCTCCACCCTACTCCTTTTGGGAGAAAATTATCTGATGTCCCTGAGGATCACATGGTACATCGCACATACTAATCACTATTTGTTATGTCCCCTGTTTGATTAATGTAATTATAGTGAACATAAAAGAACCAAAAAAAAAAAAAGTCATTTTTTTATATCATTTGTTTGGTTACTGGATATGAAATCTAGTAATATATTATAAATAAATTATTATTCATCCAACAATAAAAAATAATCACCCTCCTCAGTGATCACAAAATATATATGATCAATCTCATATTCTAAACAAATCCTCAATTCCTTACATTCAATCCATACAATATATGTAATGAATCTCATCTCTTAAACATATCCTCAACTCCTTATATTCAATCTAGATACAAAAATAAATGCCAAGGGTTTCTAGCCCCAGTGACATTACCCCAACTCTCATATTTGAGGGTTTAAACCTCCTAGGTGAGGTTAGGATACGAAATGGTTTTGTTAACTCCTATTCATTCCACCCACCATTTGTTGTGCGAAATAGTTTCGTTAACTCCTACTTTTTTTATAGCCGGATGTTTGAACCAACTTATATGCAACTCGACTAATCCCGAGACTCACGCAACATGTCCCCTCCACGTGAATCGGACAAAGCTCGGGCAAAACCTGCAGACGTGACCCTAAAAAGTTGATAACACCTAGTGAAAGTTAAACCTGAGACCTAGAGGGAAACACACCCCCAAGCCCCGACCTGCATGCACTAGGCCAACCCCTTGGGGTTAACTCCTACTTATTCCACCCGCCATCTGATGTGCCGCTTTAGCAGCTTCCCTTTCCCCAATCTGTTGAGAGTAGGCTAGATATATATTTGTATTGTTAATCCTCAAAAAACAAAACAAGTCCACAATAGCTTTAGAACTCATCCTATTGCATCTTTTCACCAGCCTTATCTCAAGAAATCTATTGCCTCACATTTTAAAAACAGAAATGTAAAACAGCAGTAGTAATAATAACAATTTTTTTTTGGGGGGGGAGAAAAAAAAAAAGAGTTTTCCTAGTGCATACAAAACAAGGGTTCTCTCCAATGAAGTACCTATTGCTACTCAATAGCAAAATAAATAAACAAACAAAACAGAGAAATGAACACTTTAGGAAAATGTAAGAAAGCTAGGAAACCAGAAAAGTTGTCTAGAAATTTACCCAGAAATTTGATGTATTGTCTAGATTCAATTAAAATGAATCTCAACCATCCAATGGTTTTTTCTGAGTATTTTTCTGGGAAAATTTCTAGGTACCTAGCAAAAAGTAAGAAAGCTAATCCATGGCTGAGGTTGCAAGACGCTGCATGTGTTTTTCCAACCTCAATTCTGTACAGCAAGCTATGAGACAACCTGACAGAGAGTTGAGTTATTCGCACTACAACTTACATTCCTGTTACAATAGTTACAGAGGCTGTAGCTATGCATTTTTCTTATCGATCTCCTCTTTCCCAATCACCAGAGGCTGATACACCATGGCGGGGAAGCAAGCACCTTCATATTAGCTGCTATCTGCGGAACCTTGGGACTTCTCTATAAGCAACTCAATTTTCTGATCATGATGAAGGCAACATATGATCATTAGGAAGCTATTATGTAAAAAGATCACAAACAAAAACCCTAATTGCTTAGAAACATGACTTGATTTGCAATTCATTTTTGTATACAACTAGGCACCCCTTGGTGCCTGGGCTGCAAAACGAACCAAGCTACTGGAGCTCAACTCATGCTTGGCTCATTCAAACCTCATTTTAGATCGGCTCATTATGCAAATAAGCCAAGCTTAAATACATTTTAAAGCTCGTTAAATTATCAAGCCAAGCTTGAACAACTTATTACTCGGCTTGACAGGGGTTGAGGGAGGATATGCATGTGTACAAGATACAGGGAGGATAAGTAATCTAATTGCATTTGCCCCCCTAAACCTTAAACCTACAAAGATATAGGGAACAATTTATTATTTCAGTCGTTTAAACCTGACTTGAACAGACTATTGGACTTGAACAACCTACTACTCAGCTCGACTCGACTCATTTGCAGCCTTACTTGGTGATTCTTTAATAAAATTTATACATAAAAAAATGATTTGATTTGCACTCCAGTAAACCAAGGACAGGTTTATGGGATCATCATTGCATTTTTTTTATATAGGTCTTTTCTCCTTACATTGACTTTTATTTGGAGTGACTTGATCTTGACACTTCCAAAATGACTCGATTTGAATACTATGGAATTTAATGCCAGGGCACAAGGAAGACCAAAATTAACACCACTTGCGACAGTAAGGAAAGATATGTTAGTTTGTAGTTTAATTGAAATTATGGCCCTCAATTGCATGGAATGGAATTCATATAGCCAACACCAACTAGTCGGAACAAGGCTTTGTAGAGTTGAATTGGGTTATAGTTGCCCTCTGTGCAAAGGAAAAAGCATATACCTTTACTGATTTGCTAACTTCTTCGAGTTTATGTAGCATCAAATCCGTAGGCAGTGTACTTCTGTGCTCAACTGAAGCATAACGTGGGGAACCCACGATCTGCATGGTAAAGAGGCATTGGTAAATGTGATCATAAGACAAAACATCTAAATAAGTTCAACTTCTGTCTAATGACGTTTACAATGCACAAAGATCAAAAACTTCAAATTTTAAAAGTTAAAATACAAAAAGCACTTCACAATTAAATAAATAAACAAAAAACACGAGAACAAATAATGTGGATTACCCACTAGATACCACAGTTTAGCCACACTCATTGATCTAAAGATTCTGAACCATGAGATTAGTATCCCCCCATTACAATTCAATAAGTTTTACCACGACAAAAACTAGCAGTTCTGTTGTATTCACACCTACTCTTATCAAGATTAAGCATTGAAATATATCACTTTATGTTCAATGTCAATGAAATTCATTAGAACAACATGAGAAAAGGCATGAAACACTTCGAGTTTGGCTGAACCTACCATTTTAAATGAATAAACAAGATTCCCACAATCAAAACAGTTTTGGTAGGAAGTGTCAAACTGCTGTTAAAAATAAAATTCTATCAACCACAACTTATAACCCTAACACCAAAGCAATGAACTTGAGCATAACCCACGTAAGTATAATCATGATTGTTAGAATCACGCAATTCACAATTCAATTCATACAATTTGATATGAGTTTCAACACAAATGATTTGAATCATACTGTTAATTGGAAATTGAGTGAATCATGCGATTCGATTTACGATTCATTATGATTCATGCGATTCAATTCTATTTTTATTTTTGTTTATACAATGCATGAAATGACGTCATTTTTGCCAAACTATCAAGAATATAGAAGAGATTTATGAAGCACGGACACCTCTCCGGAGGCAACGTATGGGTGTCCGACACGTGACGGACATGGACACGCGTCGGACACGTGTTGGACACTCTACCTAACGTGTCCCCCTTTTTTTTTTAATTTGCAGCCGGACACTCTCGGACACGTTATGGACACATTGGAGACAGAAATCCTACCCCATTGAAGATAGAGAGAGAAACCCTGACCATTAAAAACAGAGAAAGAGAAAGGGTGAAGAACCTGTTGAAGCCCTAGATCGAGGCTAGATCAAGGTGTGTTCTTCTAATTTTTGTGTTCGACTCCCTCTCTCCCTGTGTTCGGTACTCTCTGTTCGTCTTCCTCAAACCTGTTCATCGTCTTCGAATCTTCGTTTCTTTCGTCTCTCTCTCTTTTGCTGTGTTCGTCTTTCTCTTTTGTTGTGTTCGTCTCTCCCTCTTTCTCTGTTCGATTCTCCTTCTCTTGCTTCTTTGTTCGACTCTTCTTTCTCTTCTCTTCTTTGTGTTTGACTGTCTGTCTCTCTCATATCCACCCAAATAAAGACTGTTATCTCTATCTCCTCTTCTTTATTGTTTTTTCTTCTTTTTTTTTTTTACCTATTTTATTTTTGGTAACAAAAAAATCTTTTTTTTCCCTCTTTTACATTTTATTTTTTATTTTTTTTAATATTCTTGTTTGTTAAACATTAGTTATTTTTATTTGTAAAAAAAAAAAATTAATTTATGAATAATATTTGATATTAAAATAAATAAATAAATAAAATATTTTTTTAATTTTACATATAATAAATAAATAAATAATTATATATGAGCGTGTCCCCAACATGTTGTGTCTCTCATTTTTTAAAAATTTACGTGTCGACGTGTCTGTGTCGTGCTTCATAGGAAGAGATCAATAAGTTATATTGATATATGTGATTTTATATGTATATACATATATACAATTTAGCTATATTAATACTTACTTCATTTGAACACTATTTTATATTTTTATATATATATAAATAAATAATAAGATTCACAATTCATTGTTTTAGCAAAACATTCATGATTTGATTCGCGATTTGACAACAATGAGTACAATTCTTATTTCAAACAGGTTTTGCAGAAGAATCCAACTAAAGCCAAAAATAAACAAAACTATAGATGACTTGTGACAATGACATGAAAGCATTAGATTAAAATATTTTCCTTCACAAAAAAAAGGCATCTTGCACAATTTGCAATAGCTTGAGTTGACATTTAGATGAAAGCGGGGTCTAACAAGTTTGAGAACAGCAAACAACATTTTTATTATTACCTTCCAACTTTTGGATGGTGATCTGAAAACAGCTGGACCCTCAGCAGAAGATCCAACGCGGACCATACTTTCCCCTTCACCAATTTGAGCAGCAGATCTCCGAGTTCTACCAACATCTTGTATGACCTTGGAAGCTTCAGTCACAATGATCTGAAAACATGCAAATAACCCTTTTATATTTTTATATAGTCATCATATCACTCTAATAGTAATGAAACAATAAACAGTAGCCCACCATGGAACCATATGAGCAAAGTAGTTCATTGCTTCTCACACAGTTAAACTCAAGACTAGATCACAAAGAGATGCAGAGTGGATTTACCTTCCTCAGAAGCCCAGGGTTATAAACCCCTTGCACCTGCAACTCATCTACAGGTGCAGCTTTTCCATGTGCTATACTTTCAACTCTAAAGGTGTGGATTCCATAAGTTGACTGCAAGCAACCTACAAACAAACATCAAAGATACACAGATACTATAAGTCATTAGCTTTGGAAGTTCTCTCTCACATACAAAGAAAGAATGTTAAATCAAAGCAAATAAGTTCAAGGAAACAAGAACGTAACCATAAAACTGTGTGAAACAAAATGCTGATTTTTACCAATCATATTTGCTATGTTGCATAATGCATTTCACGAGCACATAAACAAGATATGAGAGGATGGACATAAGTACATAAAACCATATGGACTCATTGATGTGGTGAATTCTGAAAGGAACAGCAGAGACATTGACGATGACAAAAATGTAAAAGCATATACTTATATTCATTTGGCTGACCCCTCCCTATCTGTAAACACATATGTACATGGTTGTTATTCACAATTTGATACGAGTTTCAGCAAAAATGATTCAAATCGTGTTGTTGAATTTTAGCGAATAGAGCGATTCAATTTGCAATTCAGTTCTTCTTTTTTGTTTTGTTTTGTTTTTTTTTTTTTTGTTTACATAATGCATGAAATGGCATCTTTTTGACCAAACGAACAATTCAATTTGTAATTCAATTCTTTTTTTTGTTTTGTTTTGCTTTTTTGTTTACATAATGCATGAAACCACGTCTTTTGACCAAACTATCCAGGTATATAGGAGAGATTAATTAGTTTTATTGATATTTGTGATTTCATATGTATATACATATATACAATTTAGTTATATTGATAATTTACTTTATTTTAAACACAGTATGTATATAAATTTGTATCATATTAAATAAAATGAATCTTATGATTCATAATTCAATATGATTCGCGATATGCTATTTTAGCAAAACGATTCATGAATCCATGATTCGATTCACGACATATACATATATTCATTTGGCTGACCCCTCCCTGTTTAAACACGTATATACGATGGATTGAATTTTGTGTGTGTTTGAGAGAGAAGAAAAGGTGTGTTGAATTCTGTCAGATTTTGAATCCATATTTGAACCTTAAGAACATGTTTGTTTGGAGGGATTTAGCCATGGGATAGGATTCCATATCCGGTGGATGGAATAGTCTGTTGTTTGGTTCAAAATTTTTGCACCAGACTAATAGTCCATCTGAACTATTAGTCTCAAATCTATTGGATTGTTCATCCCAAATATATGGGATTATTCTATCCCATGGGGGGGTTTACACAAATCCTAGGATAACTCATCCCAGAGATTAGATAGTGAAATTACATTTTTGACCCTCTACTATTTAATATCTATTTCCTCATCTTTTCCACATTTGTTCTTTCACAGCAGTAGCAGAACACATTCATTCTTTCACTGCAGCAAAACCTTAGGGCCATTTTCTGCTAATCCTTTGCTTCAAGTTTAGATCTTCAATCTCCGATCTTCATTCAGGTTTGAAACTTAGTCTACATCTTTGATTTTGATTGCTATTTATTTTTTATTTTGATTTTGATTGTTCCATATAAGGGACTTAGAGATTTTTTTGTATGATATTGTTTATCTTTCCCTTTGATTTTTTTTTTTTTTCATTTTGATATGAGGGATTATTTTTGCTTGTTCTAATTTTTTTTCTAGTTTTTACTTTTCATTCTTTATATATATATATATATTTACTTCGATGTTCTGTGGCCATTGGGTGATCTTGGTTTAGTGCTCTCTTTTTTTCTTTTTTTTAAATTTATTTTTTATGTACCTTGGATCTATGGTTGGAAAGAAAGAACTATTATATTATTTAAAATTCTTACAGCCCTTTTTTTCCTTTGTTTTTTGTTTACAAAAAGATAAATCTACGCTCTTTTTTTTTCTTTTTTTTTTACCGAAAGAAAAATCTTACTGGCCTCATCTTTACATGTATCCTGATACTTGATAAGTATTAGTTATTCAGTAGCTCTCCAGAAGCTTTTGATTTTCTATGGGATGCATTTTTAATGCTACTTGGTGCATGATTTATGGAATGACAATAAAGAGTAGCACATATGGGTTTCTGGTCTGTTGATTTTTTTTTTTAACTGGTGTTTCAGTTAATATGGGTTCTTGAAGGACTAATATGGATATATATCTATCTTGTATGTACCTAGATTGAACATCAAATAGAGCAACTAGAGTCATGTGTTTAAATTTCTACTTATTATCAGGATTACTTTTATAACAACATCAATTTATTTTTCTCTTTTTTTAAAAAAAAAAAAAAATAAATCATATTGACCTGATATTTAATCACATACTTTTACTTTCTTTTTTTTTTTAAAAAAGATAGAAATTGAAAGTCATAATTCTATTGCTCATGATTGTTTAATTTTGGTGGATTGAAAGTCATAATTCTATTGTTCATGATTTTTTAATTTATTTGTAATTCTAAATTGTTTCTTGTATATAGATATGGATCAAAATATCAATGATTTTGACAATGACAATAACGATGAGCTTGAATTATACGTAGTGTTGCAAGTTGTAATGCAAGAACTACATGCCTTATGCACCGTGGCTTTTGTTGTCATTGAGGTTGTCTTGAAGAGGTATTTATCTAAGTATCCCCATAACCTTATTAGAGGGCCCAATCGACATAACATGTGTTGAACAACTCCGTATGGATTGGCGTTCTTTTATGACCTTGTGCAATATGTTCATACAATAGGCGGGTTAGGGCATTCAAAATACGTCACTTTAGAAGAGAAGGTAGCCTTCTTCCTCTTCATCTTGGCACAACACTTAAAACATGAAATGTTAAGTTCAATTTCTACAAGTCTGGAGAAACTGTTAGTCGATATTTCAATGATGTCTTAAAGGTTGTGTTGCACCTGCAAGCCAAATTACTCATCAAACCAGATCCTAAAACCAAAGCAAGCACCGATCCAAGGTGGAATTGCTTCCAGGCAATGGATTTTGTAAAAAATTGGTAACATTGCATTACTTTTTTTTATTTCTTTTTATTAAATTTTTTTTACCAAAAAAAAATCATAACTATTATAATGTCTATTGAATTGGTTTGTTTAGAATTGTCTTAGAGCACATAATGGCACCTATATTAAAGTTCATGTACCTGTGGTTCATCAAGCAACGTATAGAACAAGGAAATGAGAGATTGCTACTAATGTTTTGGGAGTTTGCTCCCAAGACATGAATTTCATATGTGTTGCCAAGGTGGGAAGGGTCAGTGGCCGACTCTAGGGTTTTAAGAGATGCAATCAATCAACCCAATGGCTTAAGGATCCCAAATGGTAATATAAAAATACCTAATTTTTCTTAAATTCATGAATAATAATTGTACGGGGAGCAAATATTCAGGCAAGCCCGTACTCCTTTCTTTCAAGCTCCGCTTCTATCCGATCACCTGCGTACACAAAGGCGGTGAGCTACCCGGCGGTGTGTGGTCGAAAAACCCCTCCGACGGTCAAGTTAGAACACACACCAGGGGATAGATAGAGAAAAGGGAGAGTGTTGAGTGTTTAGTGTACGTCTCACCAAATGTTTTTTTTGTCCGCGTATGGGGGGCGCAGACGTGCTTATATACCTTCTGCGCCCCAAATCTACTTCCAGTGACCTCTCAACACGTGGCACTGCTATCCCATCTGTCAGCATAAACCTTGCAGAGCACCACCTAACCCAACTACCTGCCCATTCTCCTGGGAGCTCGGCAGCCGGGCAGTTCCATCTCGGCCATCGTCTGCCATGCTGCGCTTCATGCCCAAGTACTCCAACAGCTAAGCTCAGATGAGGACCAGACTCGGCGGCATCTCGGCAAAGCCGAGCTCGAGACTACTTACGCTTGTCTGCGGTCGACAAACAGGTACCTCGGTCCAACCTTGCCTTTCCAGGCGCTGGACTTTTCACCTGACCGGCTTCGTAACCACGGATCCTTGTAGTTCGGTCAATCAACGCGCTGCCTTAACCGAGCAGCTTCCTTCAAGGCCGGGCCACACAACTTGGCCCAACACCTATTCGGCCCAAATCTGTCCGGCACAAATCTGTTCGGCCCAACTCTGTCCAGTCGAAATCTCTCCAGCACAAATTCCATATCATTAATCTCCCTCTCAATTGCCCCTTAATTTCGTCCGCTGAAGCGTGACTGGGATTACCTATCCTGACCGGGGTAATACTTCATCGGTCCTCAGTATGCAAGACGGTGACAGCACTAAGAAGGCGAGCAAGGTCCGCTCCACGACTTCCTTCTTAGCGAGCAAGATCAGCTCGGTCAAGGAACTCCAAAGAACGCGAGCAACATCAGCTCGGCAAGGTACTCCAAGGAAGGCGTGCAAGGTCTGCTCCGCGACTTCCTTCTTGGCGAGCAACATCAGCTCGGCAAGGAACTCCAAGGAAGGCGAGCAAGGTCTGCTCCGCGACTTCCTTCTTGGCGAGCAACATCAGCTCAGTCAAGGAACTCCAAGGAAGGCGAGCAAGGTCTGCTCCGCGACTTCCTGCTTGGCGAGCAACATCAGCTCAGTCAAGGAACTCCAAGGAAGGCGAGCAAGGTCCGCTCCGCGACTTTCTTCTTGGCGAACAACATCAGCTCGGCAAGGAACTTCCAAGGTCGGCGAGCAAGGTCCGCTCCGCGACTTGCTTCTTAGCGAGCAACATCAGCTCGGCAAGGAACTCCAAGGAAGGCAAGCAAGGTCCGCTCCGCGACTTCCTTCTTGGCGAGCAACATCAGCTCGGTCAAGGAACTTCTAAGGTCGGCGAGCAAGATCCGTTCCGCAACTTCCTTCTTGGCGAGCAACATCAGCTCGGTCAAGGAACTCCAAGGAAGACGAGCAAGGTCCGCTCCGCGACTTGCTTCTTGGCGAGCAACATCAGCTCGGCAAGGAACTTCCAAGGTCGGCGAGCAAGGTCCGCTCCGCGACTTGCTTCTTGGCGAGCAACATCAGCTCGGTCAAGGAACTCCAAGGAAAGCGAGCAAGGTCCGCTCCGCGACTTCCTTCTTGGCGAGCAATATCAGCTCAGTCAAGGAACTCCAAGGAAGGCGAGCAAGGTCCGCTCCGCGACTTCCTTCTTAGCGAGCAATATCA